GCTGCAATTCGACCACAAGAATCAATTACCAAAGCTTGGATGTAATGAATTGATGAAGGAAAAAAGTGTTTGGATGAAGGTTTAGCTCAAAGATTAGTAAGCTTCAATGCAAAGCTTACTATCCTTTTTTTGAAAATGAAGCTTTGAGTGAATTTGGTAGATGGAGAGAACTGAGAAATTTTTTAGCAAGATGAGTTTGGCTCTCAAAAGCTTGTGATTTGAATTAAATGAGGTCTCTATTTAAAGAGTTTTAGGATTGGGATTTGTGGTAATTTGGTAATTGATTCTTGGAGCCAAAATTGAATTAACGATATAATTTTCAAATTATGCAGAAATATTGGAGCAAAAAAGATGACAGTTTGAAAATTGCTGGTTTTTTTTTTCAAAAATCACGTGTTTTTTGCTGTTATGTTTCGACACAAGAGTCGTATGCGTCGACACATTCTAGTTGTATAACACAGCATGTGCCGATACATGCTTCGATGTGTCGATACATAATGCTATTTCAACACATTACAGAATCAAACAATCTGCACGAGTCGACACATAACACGTATGTGTCGACACATGCTAGTTGTACAAACAGGATGAGTCGATACATAACATGCATGTGTCGACACATACTAGTTATACACAACAAGATGAGTCGATACATACCTTTATAGGCGGATGCATGCTGTCTTTCGCCATAAAACAGAATCAATCAACTTGCATGAGTTCGACACAAGCCTCTATGGATTGATACAAGCTGCCTTTCGACACAATACATAATCAATCAATTTGCATGGGTTCGACACAAGCCTCTGTGGATTGATACAAGCTGCCTTTCGACACAATACATAATCCATCAATTTGCATGAGTTCGACACAAGCCCTTGTGGATTGATACAAGCTGCCTTTCGACACAATGGCAGAATCAATCAATTTGCATGAGTTCGACACAAGCCTCTGTGGATTGATACAAGAAGAAATCCTTATTTGTCAAATGCTTCGACTTGGTACCTACAAAATAAAAATATACAAAGACAAAGACAAATATTTTTTTAAATTTTTTTTTGTATTTTGATTAGAAGTTAGTAAACAACACATATACAAAATACACAACTAAGGTGCTTGAAGATTCCTCAAGAGCAAACTTAAAGATAGGAGATAGAAAAAAGAGGAAGAACCAACCCTAATGTGATTTTGTTATGATCAAGTTGACATGATATGATAGGGGAATCTTAGGGAAAAAAATTGGGGTACAACAGCTGCCCTTATTTAAGAGTCTTCTATCCGGAGATACGAAGGTTAAAAATCTTCGTGTCGACGCGATTGAAGATAATTAAATATAAAACAAACCCTATTTTTGTCTCTAAGATGCCATGCAATGCTTATGATTATGAATGCATAGGAACAAAATAAAAGAGGCGCAAAGTATCACTGGGGATGCCACAAAAATGAAGAAACAAAGGAGCAACCCCACCAGGAAAATAAGTCACTGGTGGACCCAAAGAATTGAATCAGAGAGGAGGATAACAAGCATCGACATTCACTGCCGATGTCTACCAACATTCATTGAAGGTAGAGAGAAGATATCATACCATCACCGTTCACTGACGATGAACTATCAACGTCCACTGATGATAGCAAAAAGATAAGAAACGCCGACGTTTACTGCCGATGCACTACCAACGTTCACTGAAGGTAGATTGAAAATATATCATACCACCGTCGTTCACTAACGATGAACTATCAACGTTCACTGATGATAGCAAAAAGATAAGAAACACCGACGTTCACTACCGATGTACTACCAACATTCACTGAAGGTAGATTGAAAATATATCATACCACCGCCGTTCACTGACGATGAACTATCAACGTTCACTGATGATAGCAAAAAGATAAGAAACACCGAAGTTCACTGCCGATGTACTACCAACGTTCACTGAAGGTTGAAACAACCGGCTGAATATCATCAAAATAATGAAGTCGCCATCGAACGTTTTTTTATCCCACAGGAAGGAAAGGTAAACGTCGAGTAAACCTGAGAAGGGTGAAATCAAGGTCGAACGACCAAGAGATAAGGGTAAGAGAGTCTGTTACGCGAGGGGAAGGTATTAGCACCCCACACGCCCGTAGTACTCTATGGTATCCACTCTTGTTGTCTATCTTATGGGTGTGTTTAATCTATATCTAAACTGTACAGGAAATGCATGCAAAATAAAAGAGAAAAGAATGTAGGGAAAATGAAAAGTTGTGCTCGCTCGGGCCCTACCCCGATGCCTACGTATCCCTTTTAAGGAATCAGAGCAGCCATAGTTCAGCTTATGTGTTTTTGTCGGTTTGTATTTTTTTAATGAACAACATTAATTTCGCCCTCTGTCGCAACTCAACCTTTGGAGACTTACGCGTCAGGACATAAGTTAATTAACATGTTCTTACCTGAAAAAGGTTTGGAGAAAATGTGCTTGGGCGCACAAAAAGTTTGAATTTGTTTGTTTGTGATGAACGATATTAATTTCGCCTTCTGCCGCAACTCGACCTTTGGAGATTTATGCGTCAGCACAGAAGTGAATTAACATGCTCTTTCTGAAAGAGGTTTTGAAAGGAAGGCCCGAAGGCAAAAAGAATTTTGTATTTGTTGGTGTTTTTTGCTTGTAGAGAATAACTAGTTAATCTCAAGGGAGAGATATTAGCCACTTTTCTACTTATCTATGAAATGGGTCTTTGAGAATTGAACCACACCTAGACTTGAGATGGAGAACAATAAGATCGGGAAGAGACCCGCTTATCATTTCTCATACTAAGCAAAAGCGTGATTCTCATCAGTAGTTTAAAAGTGTTTTGAATTTTGAAAAGAAAAAGAAGTTTTAGTTTTATATGCGTATGCAAAAGGAGAAAGAAAAGTCAAATGGGGACTAGCCTACTTCTAAACCTATTGTTATCGTGCATTAGTAGCCTTAAGTCAAGGATGAATGAAAGGGAAACGTCTACCTAATGTTAGCATGCATATGGTTTGCGATAGAGCCCAGTTTCTCATGATTTCTAGAAAGTGGTAAAGTATAGAGATGAAGAACAAAATAGAGTTGTGACGATACTGAACAGAGGAGGTCCGTTGTCTTTTTAAAGCCACGCAAGCGATAAGAAAACTCTACAGAAGTTGCTCCGCATGAGTGATCAAAGAATTAGTATTCAAGTATTCCCCATCAAAAAAGTTGCATCATTACTATCACGAAATCTTTACTAAAATGATAATAAAATAATTGTTAAACATAAGACAATTGAAAATTCTAGTAAAATTCTAAAGCAAAGACCTACAAAATTCTAAAATACTCTATTATTTATGTATCATTTCTATTATCAATTAAGAGAAAAATTAAACTAGAAAAAACCTAAAATAAATAAATAAAAAGTTAGAAGACTCAGGGGGGTGCGAGCCTGAATTCAGGATGCTGGAAATACAAGCCCATTTCAGCATGGGGTCCATTAACCCTTTTTTTTGTTCATATGTCAGAAGCTACAAAAAAACATCCTTTGGGCTGAGGTTCAAGGGTGATTTGGCCCACCCAAAATAATTGGTTAGGGCTGAAGACAAACTTCATTCTTCAGAAGAACAAATCACGATACTCTCTTTCTCTACTCTCTTTGACGGCGCGGCACACGAATTTAGGTTTCGGCTTTCATCACCAACCCATCGCTGTGAACATCCAATGCGGCGATCCTCTTCTCCTGATGTTCTCCATTAATCCCTTGCTCAGCTCATGGTCTTAAGATTCCTTACTTCACCTTCTCCAAATCCAGAAATACATCAAGAACCTAGAGGCTTCTGGTTACGATTACACTATGACAGGGATGAATCAACACCTAGCGGCTTAGGGCTTTGAATCCTACTCAGTGTGTTCTACGATCCTGCATCAAGAAGGAGGCGAAACGATGATTATACTGACCTATGGAGCCGAGGTTTGCCCCAGCGACGGTTGCGAGGTGAATCCAAGTAGAAGATATAAAAGACTTAAGATGAGATTCTCTTCGCTCAGGTAACGTTTTTTTCTTCTTCAATTCATCGCTTCTGGTTCCATCATCTTCCCTCTTCTATTTCTTGTCCGCCTCGATTGAATTTATGTGTTATTGCATGAAGGAATGTGAGAGGAAGATGAAGATTAAAGTGTTGCAGAGTGAAGGTTCTGTTGAAAAAGGAAGCAGAAGGTGCCACTTTAATTCTTGTGCGAAGTGATTTAGATCGATGCAGTTATGTTGATGAAGATTGATGGTTATTGTGTTTGAATCAAGAAAAGTGATGATAATTGAAGAAGAGTGATGTTGAATACTGTTGCAGAGAATTTTGGAGATTGCCGATTTTTAAGATTTTTCGGTGGATTTGCAAATTCTCCATCGTGATTCTGCAGATTGGAAGAGAATAAAGAATATGGTGATGGTCATTCTTCTGAGGTGGTTGAAGAATGGTATGAAGATGAAGTAGAATATGAGAAGAACGAGGGTGTTTTAGATATTTTTTGGAGATTCTTCTACAGAATCCAGAATGAATCTGAAGGTGAGTTTTTCTCTAACTTTTTCTGAATTTTCTTGAGAAGTTTTGTGTCCTCCCTAAATAATGAATCTGATTATGTATATATGATGAGAGAGTTGGAGGGAGCTTTCATAAAATTCTGTTTTTGGTTTTAGAGTTAGTTATGTGGAGGACGGTTGCAAATATGCTATGGGCTGGTTAGAGGTTGTTATTTTGTTTGGCAGTTAGAGAGTTTGTTACTCTGTTGACAGTTTGCAGGGTTAGAAAAGCGGTTAGGTGGTTAGTTCTGTTTGTAGTTTGTTGGAAATTCTGTTAGTTGGGCTATTTGCAGTTTGGAAAGTAGTTAAAAAAATGCTAGAATTCAGTTAGGACAGTTGAGGGGATGTTATGATTTTTGTTAGTTTTGTTATGCTTTCTGTTATAAGTTTGTTATAATTGCAAAAGTTAGTTACAATGCTTGTTAGGAAGTTTGTTGGAAGTTCAGTTACTAAGCTGTTGAGCTGCTGTTAATTGATTTTCTGCTTTCCCCTCTTTCCATGCAGGGCCTAACAGGTGGATGAGCTAAGAATTTCCTCCAGGGAATGGGCCTTTTTCTTTGCCTAGACAGCTGTAATGAGATTTTTGGAGTAGCCTTGGAATTTTCAGTTGAAGGTGCCAGCTTCCTCTTACTTTGGAATTCCAAGCATGATATGAGAACGAACATCGGGTTCAGCGTGCAATGGAGCAAGTGTTATGACCAAATCCTTTGTATTAGGCTGCTCTCGCGGTTCATATTGCAAACATTTAGAGGCAAGATTGACCACTATTGTTTCCTCCTCCGTAGAAAATTTTCCTTCCGAATGAGAATCTATCAAGAGCATGTTGTTTTTTTACCCTGTATCATATCAAGTGTATGACTGGGAGGGATGTGCTTTCCGCTCAGTAGATTAAGAAGAACAGTTCCAAAGCTGTAAGTTATACTTTCAGGGGTAACCCTTCCACTTCTTAAATACTCAGGATGTGTATAAGCAAGATTTGTGCTACTAATTGAGTTTGCTTTGATATTTTGCAGTAAACTTTCAGCATGTCTTCAAATATTTTGATGGAATTCAGCGAAAAGATTTTAGCTAACAGCCTTCAAAAGCTAAATGATTTTAACTAAAGTTGGACTGTCTATGTCCTCTTGAACCAAGATGAGGAGTTACAAAGGTTAGAAAAGTTCAAAACCAGCAATTCGAGTTTCATAGTTCTGTTCAATGCAATTCTTTGTGCATTCTGTCTCCGCTTTGTAGTTTGCAGATTCTTCCGGTAACATCAGCTTCTAATGTTGAAGAGTATTCAAAAAGTCTTGCAATAGCATATCTTTCCACTAAGCCTCCCAAAGAATGTGCGGCAAAGGAGATCTTCTGCAACCCTTTTCTAGTGCCGCTAGTTGCGAACAAGCTGCTAAAACATTGGTGAAAGTAATAACATCTGGTTCAACAGATGATTGTATCATTTTGCTGAAGAGGTTAAGTGCTTCAAAAAGTTTCCCTTCAGTTATATATCCAGAAATCATAACATCCCAAGAAACTGGTGTTGTCTTCGGTATCAATTTAAAGATGTTTTCGGCTGACTCAACCTTTCCACATTTGAAGTATAGATCCATGAGTGAGCTGTTAATAAAATATCCGGCTCTATTCTATTGCGTATTATATATCCATGAACAAACTTTCCCTCTAGTAGTTGCACTGAACGTGAATATGGTTTTACCTCAACAGAGTTGCATCATAATATTATTTATCTCAATAGTTGGTGCAATCTTATTGAGTAGTGTGATGAGTAACAAACAGAACTTTGTAACAGCCCAGGCAAGAACAAGTTCATGAATATTAATATACTGCTCAAAGTAGTCAAAGTTGGTTTGACTCCTTCATTGTACATTCTCTTAAAAAGTTGAATGCATGAAAAGCAGTCGCCTTTAAAACCATATCCTGTAATCATGGAATTCCAAGCAACAACAAACTTTTTAGGCATTTGCTCAAAAACTTCTATCGTCATTTCTAAGTGACCGCATTCTCCATACATGTCAACAAGGGCAGAGCTAACAAAAGAATCAAGCCAAAACCCACTATTAATCAACTCCTTATGAATTTCCCTCCCTCTCTCCAAATTAAAAAGCCTAACACAAGACGAAATAGCAGTTGTGATTATAACTGAATCCAGCTCAAATCCATATCTTCTCATCATGCCAAAGTATCTCAGAGCTTCTTCAAATTTCCCGCTTTGATGATAACAAGAAATCACCATATTCAAGCACGCTATATCCTTATCAGACATTTCATCAAACAATTGTATAGCATACTCAAACGAATTGCATTTAGCATACGTTCTCACAAGAGAACTTCTAACTACAATATCCACCATTAAATCCGTTTTTATTAAACAAGTATGTACCATTTGATTATCCTCTAAGAACTTCACTTCATGACTCAATGAACGAATTCCAACCAACTTGCATATTCAATGAACTGGTCCTGAACTCAAGACATGTCATAACATTCGATCGAATCAATAATATTCATGCATGAACTAAGTCCAGACAACAACCTCTCCATATTGCAATTGCCCAAAATCAAAGCCTTTATTCATGTTTTTCTAACTCAATTAGCACTCCCCCGCGTCATATCTTATATTGTGCTTCAATTTTTGTAATTCAAGTCGCAAACATGTCTACTTGAAAATGTAAGGCTAAAATCCTTAAGAAATTTCCTTGAAGATGATACTTCCTTTCACACAATATAAGGGTCTCTGAGAAAGTCCCTTGATAAACAAACCCTAATCTCATGATCTTTGACGAAAAACCCGATTGGACCCCAATTACCGAAAACATGGCTTTAATCGCATATAGGAAAATAAACCATGATAGCCTCGTGTCTTGATGAAGAAAGAAATTCTCAACTACCCAGGTCACAATCCTAATTCCACTGCTCACTACCTGAATAAGAAATCAGTCTTTATTGGATACGAACGCCTTAACCATTGCGAAATCCTAATATCGCATAACCACTGAACTTTGAACCAAAGAGTTATATTGAATGAAATGTATGCCATGTTAGTGACCTAATGAAATAGATGCAAATGAATACAAAAGTTTAAGCCATAATAAAAGAAATTATGAGGGCAAATTTTGGGGTGCAACAGCTGCCCCTATTTAATCGTCTTCAACCTGAAGGTGAGATTGGCGCCAGCCTTTCGAACTTTCAAGGTGGAAAAAGATTAAATACTTAAAAGAACCCGAAAATTTGCGCTCTGGAGTCAGTCAGGTATTATTATTTTTGGTTTTATGTATCTTATATATATATATATATATATATATATATATATATATATATATATATATATATATATATATATATATATATATATATATATATATATATATATATATATATATATATATATATATATATATATATATATATATATAGGTTAAAAGGGTTTATAAGGGTTAGATGTATGTTTAACCAGAGTTTGACACACCGAAGGATAACTCAGTTATAGAGGAACTCTTGTAGGGATTTAGTAACAAACACCTGTAAGAAAGATATCAAAAGGTATATGCCTGAAGTCTATAGCAGACATACGAAAAAAGGTATCAGAGACACTTATCTGGGGTTGGTAGCAGATATACAAGAAAGAGACATCAAAAATACATATCCGTGGTCGGTATCGGACACGTAAGAAAGAGATAGAAAAGATACATATTTGTGGTCGGTATCGGATACGTAAGAAAGATATAGAAAAGATACATATCCGTGGTCGGTATCAGATACGCACAAAAGATATAGAAAAGATACATATCCGTGGTCGGTATCGGATACGCACAAAAGAGATATCAAAGATACATATCCGTGGTCGGTATCGGATACGCACAAAAGATATAGAAAAGATACATATCCGTGGTCGGTATCGGATACGCACAAAAGAGACATCAAAGATACATATCCGTGGTCGGTATCGGATATGTACGAAAGAGACGTCAAAGATACATATCTGTGGTCGGTATCAGATACGCACAAAAGAGACATCAAAGATACATATCCATGGTCGGTATCGGATACGTACAACAGAGACATCAAAAATACATATCCGTGGTCCGTATCAGATACGTAAGAAAGAGACAGACCGAAGAAAGCCCTTACAAAGATATCAAGAACACATGTCTGGGATTGGTAGCAGACATATGAAATAGGTATCGAAAATACATATCCGTGGTCGATATCGGATACGTATGAAAGAGACAAACCGAAGAAAGCTCTTACAAAGATATCAAGAACACATGTCTGGGATTGGTAGCAGACATATGAAACAAGTATCGAAAATACATATCCGTGGTCGGTATCAGATACGTATGAAAGAGACAGATTGAAGAAAGCTCTTACAAAGAAAACACAAATCGAAGGTGAACTTACTGAGGGAAGAGACCAAACAAATGGGACTCCTGACAAATGATACCAGTCGATGATGGATTTTAACAAATGATACCATCCGAAGCGGGGTTTTGAAAGATACCTTCTGGAGTGGGATTTTGAAAGATACCAGCCGAAGCGGGATTTTAACAAATGATACCAGCCGAAGTGGGGTTTTGAAAGATACCTGCCGGAGCGGGATTTTGAAAGATACCAGCCGAAGCGGGATTTTAACAAATGATACCAACCGAAGCGGGATTTTGAAAGATACCAGCCGAAGCGGGATTTTAACAAATGATACCAGCCGAAGCAGGATTTTGAAAGATACCTGCCGGAGCGGGATTTTGAAAGATACCAGCCGAAGTGGGATTTTAGGATAAAGAAACAAGCCGAAGGGGAATCTTCATCCAGGAATACTATGTCGAAGGTAGATTTCTAAGAAAATAACGCTGGTCGAAGGCGAACTTACAACTGCAAAGAGACCAGCCGAAGGGGACTCTCAACAAATGGTACCAGCCGAAGGTGGATTTTAAAGGATGCCAGCCGTAGGTGGACTTTAGGACAAAGAAACCAGCCGAAGGGGAATCTTCATCCAGGAATACTATGCCGAAGGTAGATTCCTAAGAAAAGAACGCCGGTCAAAGGCGAACTTATAACTGCAAAGGGACCAACCCAAGGGGACTCTCAACAAATGATAAAGGTATGCATATCTGGTCAGAGTTAGATACACAAGAGCGAAATTGATCATCAAGAAACAAATGTTTAGAGTTGATAGTGAACACATGAACGAGACTAACCGAAGAAAGCCCCAATAAAAAGGACGCATTCGGCTAAACAACGGCGCCAGACAACTGGACTTTGAAGAGACATTGAAAGACTCTTAATCATAAAAAGTTAGCTAGGCTAACAAAAGGAGGACCCGACTAACGCGGATAAACCAAAACGGGGAACCGACTAAGCATGACCCTTAAAGAGCACTGATCGAAGGTGAACTCTGCAAGAGAAAGGGACTGGTCAAAGCAGGCTTTAACAAAGAAAAACATGTTAGGCTTTCGATGGGTTGCAAATACGCAAGAACTAAAAATCCCTCAGGCCAGAGGCGGGGTGTTAATTCTTCAAGAGTGGCGATTGTCTGAATTACCACACACCAAGTATGGATACTCATACACTTGAGAAGCAAGAAAGGTTATAAGCCAACTCTTACTCATACTCTAACGACAAAGCAAACGCAGGTAAAATAACCAAAGGCTTGCAAAGGCAAGCGCAAACCACAAACTTATTGGGGAAATGGAGAAATACCACATACCTGACTCGTGGTGAATCAAACAAACTTTGATGGGGAAACATCATAGAATCACCACAGGCTTGTCTATAGAGGTAAATCAAATATGAGCGCATAACAATAGGGTTACCACAGGTGGACACAATTGGCTTATACTCATGCGTGTTTAAATTTTTTTCATAGCGTACTGCTTCATGCAATGGAAATGCTACGCGTTTTGGAAGATGCAATGTAATGATGCAGTGTAATGATGCAATGTAATAATGCAATGTAATGATTCAATGCATTAAGAAAACAGGTCAACAATCAGCTGCTGAGAAGACAAAGAACTTCCAAACGATTGTTCTTGCACATCTGATCTTCTGTAGAGAAAAGGAAATTTGTACTTCAATGGGGAACCGAGATTTGGAACCGTCAACCCCTAAATATCGATATCACTGAGGAAATAACTTCTTGGGAAGATCACTACAAAAATATAATTGTAGTTCAGAGAAAATCTTGAATTCTGATCAGACTCCCCACTTCACGTGGAAAAATTCTTTATCCTCTGTTGGAAAGAGAAAAGCTTTGCTGGGAATGGAAACTTCTGGCATAGAAATCTTTGACGAAGATCACTTCCATTGGGGAGTATAGGAATTCTTAAATAAAAAGAATTCTACTCAGGACGTACTGGGGATAACATTGCTGGGAAGTAAAAGATCCTCACTTGGGGAAGAAACAACATCCCGGGACAAAAACTCCATTGGGGATATCGCAATAGAAACTTCTACCACTGAAAGAATCATGACTGGAGTTCTCCTGTACATCCCACCTGAGAGATAGGACACTTGCTCCATTAGGGAAAGAAGAATAATTCCACTGGGGAAATTGGGTCTCATTATACGAACATCTTCACGTTAGTCACATACAGACCCTTCTTGATTCCTTTGTTGGTATGCATCTTGTCATACAAGACCAATAGTACTTGCAAAAATAGAAGTTGGGGCGACATGCCCTTGTTTGGGGATGTAAAACCTTATTGAAGAATAGAAAATTTGAACTATCAATCACTGGGTAAAAACTGTGATGCAAGATTACAACTCCAACATGTTGTCTCCGAGGAGAAATGCCACTAAAAAATAGACTTTAGAGGAGATGCTGCAAAAATAGATTGCAGTCCAATGAAAAGGGGTCGACTAGACTTTAAACAACTTCTATATTTCCAGGGAGAAGGAACATTCTCCTCCTGCAGAGAAATTAGGATGCTTCACTGGGGAGAAAATATCTCATAAGAGGAACCCCTTGGTAGATAGGTCTATGTCAAGTAGCAACAGGTATTTTACTAGGAAGCAGCATCCCCCTAAGAAGCAATATTCCCATCACGTCTTGTACGAATAAACAAACCCAAATAATCTTTGCGTTACCGCTCATATGCTGCTGTGGATAACAATCCAAACTTCAACTGGGGATAATAACCTTGACTTAGGACAAAGGATATCAGTAAATGGACTTAAGTCTATGATAAGTTGAAGATTACAATCTTGACTTCTCAGCATGATTTTCAAACTCATAGGTTATTTAGCCTGCGTATGGACATGATCTGATCAACCATTGAAGAATAGAGAAAGCCCTTACATAAATTCTTGCCCCAGTCTATAAGGCTTTTGCAGAAAAATTGCCTCGAGAGGACTTTTTGAGATTTATACCACCAAGATAAACTGCCCCAGTGTTATGAACTTCAGAATACTGCCCCTGGATGACCAAAGTTGGAAATAACTTCAACAATGCTTGATTGAATTCTCTTGCATCTCAGAATTCTGAAAAGATTCTCCCCTAATCAACAAATTCTTGGAGAGATTTATCAAATCTCGACATAACTGCCCTAGTTTGACTGCACATTGAGGGATAAAATCCCGACT